CGTACTCGACCATTAAATAAACTCAAAGGTCCACCACTGGCACCACCAGCCTCCGCCTCCACCGTCGAGCCGCGATCGCTGCCGCCCGCGACGCCGCCCACCGCGTCAGATGCCCGCGACGCCCGCGGCGAGTCGAGTCGGAGAGCCGAGCCGCACCAGCAGCAGCATCTGCACCAGCAGCAGCACCAGGGATTTTAAGGAGAGGAGTGTGATGCGCTAGCCGTCGCCCACCCTAGGGAGTCTGCCTCTTCCTATCTCTTTTCGCAGTCTCTCGCCGATTCTCGCTGCAACCTTCATGCCACCTCGCGGCCGTCCCACTCTCGCCGTTCTCTCCCTTGTCACTTCCTCCTCTGTCGCGTCATTCTCTTCTGCCTCGTCCTGCGCCGCCGCCGCCTGCCGTTCCCTTGTTCTCTCGGCTTCTTTCGCCTTTCGGCGCAGCTCCGCCCGAGAACCTCGAGAGAGCCCTTTGCTGGTCAAATTCTTTGCGCCGCCGACCGCCCTTGCGCCGCGCGCGGTTTCGTGCCTGTGTACAGGCGCCGGCATGCTTCTCGCAGACAAGTACGACCTGCAGGAGCAGCTGAAGCTCTCGCTGCTGCAGATAGAGGACAAGGAGCTCAACTTCTTCACCCAGAACTGCTACACCGTGGGGACGCAGGCGGCGCTCATCGCAGGCTTTGTCTTCTCCGCCATCGTCGAGGCGCGTGGCATCCCCACAGCGCCGCCGCCGCGCGACCGCACCGCGCCGGCCTCCGCGCCGACTAGCGGCGTGGTGGCGCTGCCAGGCGCGCGACATGGACGATATCGGGCCCGGCCTCAAGATTTCGTGGTCGGTCGCGACGGTGCTCTCGATGATCTTTGAGCTGATGACGGTGGTCAAGGCGACGAGAGAGCGCGCGCGTGCGCGCGGCGGGCGTGTGACCAGCGCCTCTCTGAGCGTGCAGCCGCGCCCCTCCCCCCGCAGGCCATGCAGCTCTCCATAATGGCTCCGGGCCTCGCGCTGCGCGGGCCGGAGGGCTCGATGACCCGCGCCGTCATGGTGCGGCGGGGAGGGGCGGGGAGAGGCGGGGAGAGGTGGGGAGGGGTGGGGAGATGTGGGGAGATGTGGGGGAGATGTGGGGGAGAGGCGGCGGCGTCGTCGCACCCTTTCCTCCTCTCGGCCCGCCCTCTCGCCCGCGGCGACCTTTCCTGGACATGTCCTGCACATGTCCCTGCTCCGGCCAGGTGATGCGCGGGGAGTACAAGTCGCTGCACCGCTACTTTTACGCGGGCCTCTTCTTCTTCCACATCTCGGTCCAGATCTAGCCGACGATCTAGCCGACGATCTAGCTGAGGGATGGCCGAGGGATGGCCGGGAGATGGCCGGGAGATTGCCATTGCCGGGAGATTGCCGGAGATTGCCGGGAGATCGCCGGGAGATCGCCTTGACCTCGCCTCGGGCGGAGGCACTGACTCGAGTCGACTACCAGGCCCGACTAGAAACCGGAGAGAGGAGGATGCAAGGGAGGAGAGAAGAGAGTGCCTACGCCGCGAGTGGGCACCCTCCCCCACCCCCCACAGTACGGAACCCCCCCCC